GTCCCCTTCAGCTCAGGGGTTCTCTAATTGGGTGTGAGAGTTCTGAGTGCAGAGAGCTTGTTAAACACCAAGTTCCAAGGCCTCCTTCCAGAGATTCTGATAGGGCCCCGGAGCTCCATTCCCACCAGCGTTCCAGAGGGTTCTGAGGTAGGCAGCCCGCGAGCCACGGTTTGGATAAATACTGCGCAGGACGGAAGGCAAAGGCGTTAACGTGGTCTTTGTTCCCTCAGCCTCCCAGGAGGGAACGCAGCAGCTTTCTCGAAGACCCTGCTTTTGAGAACGTTAAGCCCACCTCAGACCTTCGTGGAGGAGTCTTGGTCTTTGCCGTCTCCCCAGCCTTACCGTCCGGGGTCTGCGTGGATTGTCTTGTAAGTGCTTCCTTGCTTTGATTCATGGGTTTTTCTTTTTCTTTTGTTTTAGTCGCGATTTTTGTTGAATGCTGGTTACCCCAAAATCCCACCCAGACAACTCACTGAGGAGACGAAGCTGCTTCACCGTCACCGTGGTAAGGGGGAACACTGCCCTGACAGTGCCTTCGCGTCCCAGAGGGAGGGGGACTAAGGTGGGGTATTTGTGAGGGTTTTGAAGTCCAGTTTACGCCTGGACTCCCAGTACAGGGGCTTGATTAGAAATAGGTAAGGGTCGTAGTGTAATAGTTTAAAATTGGTGGATTTTGAGGTGATGGGTTCAGAGTCTGGGGGTGTTAACTGTCATTTATGGTTTTTATCGAAGAGTTTATGAATCTTTCATAAAATTCTTGGAATGAACCAAAAAGTTATTTGCCGCTTTAATTTTCCTGGGCCAGAGTTTCCTGGGGTACTAAAGTTATATTGATGATGACAGTGGAATATTAATAAAGTCGTGTGACCATAGACAGTAAGCTGTGTGGTGAAGATGGTTTCAGCTCTCACTACTTTAAAATAAAACTAATTTTAATTAAATATATTTTTCATTCACTTCTTTGTTGGTTTAATTTTACTGGCACAAATTAAGGCATATTTTTTTCCCCAGAAATGTCTCAAATTTGTTATATTCCCTGGGTTATTTCATGCTTGAGGATGTTTGTTGATGTTTTAATGTGGAAAGCATTTTGGTGGAATATAAGTTTCTTAGGGCAAACTTTTTCTCAGAAATATAGAAAAGTTTCCTAATGTTTTCCTACATACACTTGGATATAGAAGTTAGAGAAAAATAATTTTTTAATAATAAGATTACATGGGGGGAGGGTTATAGCTTAGTGGTAGAGCTCGCGCTTAGCATGCTTAATTCCCATTACCTACATCAAAAAGTGATGATAATAAAAAATAAATAAACCTCATTACCGCTCCACCCAAAAGAACCCTCATAGTATCGTTAACCAATGCATGGTTCTAACACCCAGTAGGTACTCAATAAATATTTCATGAACAAATAAATAGATATAAAATGAAATTATTTTGTAAAAAAGATTATATTTGTTGTTTTTATACTAAACATTTAAAATTTATGTTCATATTAAATTCACATAATTTTAAAGGAAGAAAGAGAAATAGACGAAATTGAAGGAACTGCTGAATTTAAGTGAATGTTTATCTGCAAAGAGATTTTATTTTGTAGAGAATACATCTACGGTTACCAATGGAAGGTTATGAGAAAAGCAAAGTCTTTGGAGCCATTTTTCTCCCATGATGTATTTTTTAAATGTTATCTATTATTTCACTAAAATGATAAATGAGAATATTTATGTTTTACTTTCATGTTTACTCCATGCCTTCTTCCTCCTGCTGATTTTTTGGGTAAGCTGTCATTTTCATGTTTTCAAGCTTATGACACTTGAGTGCTGTTCTGGAGCTACAAGTCTTGCCATCAGTTGTTTCACCATAACTTCTCTATTTAATAAAATCTTTATGTTGATTAATCTCTTGGTTGGTTGGATTTCCCTGTCAAGTAGCTATTCTGTCCAAAAAAGGCTCATAAGTATGTGTTCCTGAGATCTTGTGTATGAGAAGATATTTATTACTTTTATATTTGAAGTACAGTTTGGCTTTCTATGAACTTCTTGGGTTACGTTCCTCCAGGTTCTGCTGACGTTAGGTTTTTTTCCTTCTGAAACATGCTCCATTATTTTTTAGCACTGAGTATCATGGAGCTGTCTGAGGCCAGCTTGATTTTTTTTTCTTTGTAGATGATGTGTTGTATTAGTCAGGGATCTCCAGAGAAACAACCAGTAGGATATATAAGTCTCATATGATTTAGGAGGCTACGTTCCAAGCTCTGCAGTTGGCAAGCTAGAGACCCAAGAGAGCTGATAGCGTAGTTTCAGTTGAAGCCCAAAGGCCTGAAAACCAGGAGAGGCAACTGGTGTCCATTCTAGTTTGCGGGCCAAAGACTGATGTCCCAGCTCAATCAGTTAGGCAGGTAAATTTCCCATTACTCAGTTTTTTATGGTATTCTCTTCATTTGATTAGATGAGGCCCAGCCACATTAAGGAGGGCCATCTTCTGTACTCAGTCTACCAATTCAAATGTTAATCTCACCCACAAGCACTCTCACAGACACACCAGAGTAATGTTTGACCAAGGTTGGGCACCCTGTGGCCCATTAAGTTGACACATAAAATTAGCTATCACATGTGTTTTCTCCCTTAAGTGACTAAAGTATTATTTCTTTGTCCTTAAAATTAACTAGGTTGTATTAATTGTTCTGTGTCAATTTTTACATAATTTTATAAATAGTCCCCAGAAGCTGTTACTAATTCTACTGCCCCCATTCCCACCTAACGATAGTCATCAAAAAGGAAAAATATGTAGGAAACTCTCTTTTCTCAACATGAAAGACATATTACTATCTGTTGAAATGAGAGATATGCAAAATGGGGTCAGCATTTTATAATTCTGTCAGTTATTTAACAGATAGTGTCTACTATTCATTAGATAGATTCTTTGCAAGGGGAACTCAGCGGTTAAGTCCCTGCTCTCAGGTAGCATCTATATTTATTGTACAATCCATGGTTAGCTGCTCACATTTCCATATCTTGGCTATTAGATATGTCTAGTGTTCATTTCTCTGATTCATTATCTTTCCATGTACTGGAGAAATTTCCATGTTATTTCCTACCCCTTAGTGGAGGAGTCAGGATGCAGACTAGTGGACAGCCTTGCAGCTACCACAGGCATGTGACAATCCTAGGTACCAGTGTGAGACTTTGATGTGGAAATGAAAGAGAAGGAAAGAGTGGCTTAAAATGACAATCATTCAAATATTTCTCATGATGGGGAGGGCAGAATGGGGATGGTTGTCTCAGCTCCATGATGTCCCTCAGCTGGAATGCCTAGCATGGCTGGAGGCTGGAATGTTGAGAACAGCTTCTTCACTTGCATCCCTTGCATTTGTGCTGCTTCATGTGGCCTTTGTTCCACGTTGCATTGCCTTTAGGGCCTCTCCACAGCTGCCCTCTCTCTAGTTACTTCTTATATGTCAGTTTAGGGTCCAACTTGCACAAAGCTGAAACTGCCAAATCTTCTTAAAGCCTAGGCTGAGGAGTCCTGGGTCATTTGTTGTATATTTTGTAAGTTAAAGTGGTTTTTCTTCAAATGGATTTAGTTTATAAATGGTTTGGACTTCAAAAATGCAACTTAAAACAATCACAAGGCCGTGTGTTATTCTCCACCCACCCCTTCAGTTTTAGGCAATGAACAGAAGAGTAACATTATAGCAGTTTTTCAGAAAGTTTGTGCTTATTTTCCATTGTTGATGTTAGACTCTCTAAAATGTTCATAGTTTGGAAATTCTTATTGGTGTAAAATAAATCTTTTCTGAAACCAAAAAATCATTTAAAAATCACTGTAAAAGGTACCTTAAGAAGAATACAATGTGGTGGTTAAACGTGTAATTTCTAGCAGTTGACTTGATAAGTTCAAATCTAGCTCCACCTCTTACTGGCCATGTGACATGGAGCAAGTTACTTAGCCTCTCAATGCCTCAAGTTCCTCAGATGCAAGAGGGGGATATTAATAGTCCTTCCCTTTTACAGTTGTTGTGAAGGTTAAATGAATTTATACATGTAAAGCCCTTACAATGCATACCTATACCAAATGCTCAATTCTAGTTATTATTATTATATAAAATTACCAATCCAATAGAATGCAACAAAATAAAAAAAGAGAAAGTGAAAACAGAGAAACATGTTAGAAATATGACCAGTGTGATAGTAATATGAAAACTCAATAAATGTGTATTTATTAATCTTCACTATTAAGAAACAGATAATTAGATTGGATAAATATTACAAAATCCAGACACATAATGTCTTTAAGAGCCAAATCTGAAATTAAACCACATAGAAAGATAGAAAATAAAGGGATAGTTAAAATATATATAAGGATAATTAAAATAGAAAAAGTTGGTTAAGCAAAATAATATGAAGTAGAAACTAAGGTAAAAAGCATAAACAGAGATAAAATTACTATGTAATAAATATAGTTAGAATTAATAAAAAGATATAAAAATTATGAACTTCTGTGTACCCAATAATGTCTCAAAATATAAAATTACACAATTACAAGGTAAATTTGATAAATTCACAAAGATACTGGGAAATTTTTAACAAAACTTTATCAGAATTCTTTAGATCAAGTAGATAATAAAAAAGTAATGGTCCTGAACAAAAGTAATAGCTTGATCTGTACCCTCAAGTAAAAGATATACATTCTTTTTAAGGATACATGAAACAGTTATAAACATTGGCATTAAGCACAGGTATTAGTTCTCAAAAGACATCCCAATGAAGGTCAGAGCATGTCCTCTGAACACAGTACATTACATTATAAGTCAAGAATAGAAAATTATTTAGGAAGACTCCATAGATTTGTAAACTAAAACAGTACTACTACATAAGAGATAAACAAGAATTCACAATGAAAATAAATTTAGAATTGAATGACAGTGAAAGTTCTGCTCATTGAAGTGGTAAAAAAAAAGTAAGTTTCATTTATAACTCAATTTGAAAATAATTCAACATTTTAAGTATCAGCTCAAGAAGGCAAAAAGTATTGATGAAGGTAAGTAAAAAAATAAGAGAAATGAATGAATAGGAAACAAAAACAGAAGATCAACAAAGCAAGAGCTGGTTCTTTATTAAGGTTTAGGCTGCACTTACAACATTTGGTGTATGTGAAGTTTTTGTCTCATGACTCCTCTGTCTTAGACACAAAGAAAAGAGATATATGTTCAAAGAGGAGGATTTTAGATTTTTCAGTGAACTTTTGGTTTTTGTTACCCATGTTGTCCAATCACGTAGATACCTTCCTGTATTTACTCTCTAATGCTGCTTTACATTCTGAGATAGAAGAAAATATTTTCTCTTTTGGAATTCGCATGTTTCAGGAAGTGAATAAATGTCCTAATACATTGTCTCAAGTGTACTAGTCCCACTGCAAATTCAAAGCAAAATATTTAAGAGAAAATTAAATATAAATGTAAATATACATATTTAACGCAAAATAGGTATACATTCTCCACAGAGAA